AACTCTCGGAAAAGAGGAGATAATAGTAGAGCTACTAGAGTGATTAGAAGAATAAAAACCTAACCATATGAAAGGTACTAGTAGTGCTTGACTGGTAACATCACAAAATGAAAGCCAATAGGGCATGTAGACACCTGAGAAGGAAAAGAACATGAAAGCTATGGTGCCTAATCCATGGTTTAGGAGTACTAATGCCATGAACAACAGAAACATTATAACACAATGGGATTTACAGGTTAATGTCTTCCTTTCTAGAAGTACATCTTTGTACATTACTGAAATGATCAGTCATGATCTATTTCAAAAGCCATTCAACTAGGAAATTATGTAACCTCTGCTCCAAGGCACAATTAACTATATCACTGGTGACAAATGTTTGCCTGATATAACCTTAAAAGCCTCAATATTCCTACTCCATCTGCTTTAGTACTTCACCAACCTCTCCTGTATAAAGTTTCTTCGTGTTATATTGTTTTTTTTTTGTAATTTATACTCTTTATTTTCTATCCTAGCCTTTTATAAACTTGCAAACTTTTACCACATCCCCCTTTATGCCCTTTATCCTTAAGTTTAAAAAGATAAGGCTGACAATTTTTTTTTTTTATTTTCCTCATAGGTCAAGTTTTACAGATTCCTAATAATTTCTTTGTGATCATTTGGAATTTTCTGATTGACACACATTATGAAATTTTTAGCTCACTGTTGAGCTGTATGATAGAATTATTTCAGGTATTTTTTTTAGGTCATATTCTCATTTATAATCTGGAGATTTTTTTTAGTGCATAGTGATACTGATGACATGTTCCTTTACAGAGTCAGCATGATAGCATGTCTCACAATGTGTCTTTTAGTTAGGTGCTTCCTAGATTGTATTTGTACACAAATTATTCTTGCATAAATATACTATACTATAGTTGCCCACATTTAAACATAATATGCTTTATTCCAAATTGTTATTCTCTATTCTGTCAAGAACATTTTGCATTGAATCACACCCCCTTTTTCCAATATTGATGATAATATTTTATAATACTAGAACAAGCACAAATTCTCTTGACTCCACTCCATGCATCCTTGTATTTTATAAGCCTTTAATAGCTACTCTACAAAAGCTAAGGTTTTCCAAGGAAGGGGTTGCACCTAGCTATAAGCATACACTTTCCGCTAGTACCTATCGTTGCTTATCTGCGGGCCCATGTGAATAGGAATTAGTAAAATTCAAGTATATTACAACACTATTCCTCTGCTTAAAGGTCAGTACTAATTTTGTAAGGAAATTAACTTATCTGATATGGATTTGTATCTTGAAACAAACATATAGAATCATTAGGTGATGGAAAGACCTCCAAGATCATCTAAGTCCAACCGTCCCCCTACCACAATATTTACCAACACCACTAAACCATGTCCCCTAAATTACTACATCTAATCTTTCCTTAACATCCAAGGGATGGTGACTCCAGCACCTCCCTGGGAAACCCTTCCAATGCTTAGCCACATCTTTCTGAGAATAAATTTCTCCTGATTTTCCAACCTGAACTTCCCCTGGCTCTATTTGAGGACATTCCCTCTTGTTCTGTTGCTGGTTATCTGTGAGAAGTGGCCAACCCCCAACTCTCCACATCTTTCCTTTTGGTAGTTGCAGAGAGCAATAAGGCCCTGAGCCTCCTCGTTCCAGAATAAACAAGCCCAGTTCCATCAGCTGCTCCTCATAAGACTTGTGTTCAGGCCCTTCACCAGTTTGTAGCACTTTCTTGAGACATGCTCCAGGGCCTTGATGTCTTTCTTGTACTGAGGGACCCAAAAACTGAACACAGTACACAAGGTAAGGCCTTACTGGAGCTGAGTACAGGGATATACTAGCTGTTACTCCTATATTCATTTCTCTTAACCAGTTGTAAATTCTTTGTTCCAGTATTTTCCCAGAACAGAAATTAAGCAGATTTCAGTGCCCTGGCTATTTGTATTCCTTTCCCTCTTCCTCCCAGATCTTTTTCCACTATCTCATTTGTTCTTTATGAGTCTCAAGTATAAATGAGAATGGCAGGCAGATCTTTAAACTGAATGCCATTTAAGTTAAGCTGAATCAGCTGATTTGAAAACTCCTCTATTCTTACCTCAGTACTACTCAGCTATTTTGCCTATTCCTTTGCATATCTGAAGTTGAATCTTTCTGTTACCAGCATTAATTGTAGTTAGTTGTAACCATCACCTGTCTGCAACAGGTATCTGTAGTGAAAACTGATTAACCCTCCACAACACCCATGCCAAGAAGTACAAAAAGCCCCTCAAAACAATTAACTACTGCCAGACTTGTCAGGACTACCTCTGACAGTTCTTCCTCTATGATGAGCAGTAAAAAAACATATATTTTTTTTGGTCCTCCTCCTGCCACCCCATTTTGTGCCTTGGCCTTTCTGATTTTGTGCCATTAGGATCATAATAAATATACATTCCGATTCCTAGTTGCCTGAGCTATTTCTGATTCTTATATGATTCCTTATATATGAAGTGCACAAAAAAAAATGCATGGGTTAGCCATCTGTTTCCTTGCTATGCAACCTATCCTTTCTTAGTAATAGGAAAACTTGCATTACTATCTATAACACTACTTAAATGAAGGACTACCAGATATATTTACTTTTTCTTCCCTTTATAAAGTTTTCTTATAAATAAGCAAATAATCATAGTTGTTTCATCATCTTCCCAGAGATTGATGCTGAGGGGCTTCTAGTTCTCTGGGTCTTCCATCTTACCCTTTTTGAAGACAGGAGTGACATTTGCTTCCTCCAGTCCTCAAGCACCTCTCCCAGTTGCCATGGTCATTCAAAGTTTGCTTAAGTATTCCCTGACCTGATCCTCTTCTACCAAGGGTGTAACTCCTGTGCTCCAGACCTTCCCTCTATCTCTGGGGTCTGTGCTTTCTGAAGGTTATTCATGAACACCACCTATTCTCCTTTGGCCACATACCTCATTAAAGTCTTGCTCTGTGTTCTTGGGAACACCCCTCAAAAGTATTGGAAGGATGCTATTAGGTGCTCCATAAGCCTTCTCTTCTCCACACTCAGCAAGCCCAGGTCCTTTAGCCACTCCTCACAGGGTGGCTGTCAGCTGGACTCATTCAAATTTATCGGTATCTTTCTTGTACTGCAGAGCCCTAAAACTCTGGTCTCATGAGTGCCAAGTAACAGGGATAATTGGCTTCTGTTGACCTACTGGCTCTGCTAATACAGCTGAGTATGGTTAGCTATCACTGATGACTCGCATTTAGCTTGCTGTCCACCAGAAACCCACATCCTTTTCAACAGAGGTGCTACTCAGCAGTCCTCAGGCTGTATGACTGCAGGGTGTTATTCTGTAACACATTCTTTTCTGGCTGGGCACACAGTCACAACCTGTGCACTTCCCTTGAAATTACCGTATGTACAAATTTTCTTAGGAACAGACCTTCCTGGCTAATGACACATACAGGTGTGCATTTGATAAAATGTTCCTTGGTGGCTGCTGCACAGAACTGTGGCTGCAACACTGCCTGCTTAGTCAGTCCTTTCCACTTGGCCAGCTAAGGCAAGCTTTTGCTTTAGCAAACCGTTTGGTTTGGTGACCAAACCAATGGCAACAGCATTTTTGCACCAGGAAATAAGGCTGCTCACAGGTAGTATACATATACACAAGTCACAGAGGAGAAAAGCACAACAGGAACGGTCTACTTGAATACAAAACAGTATTCTTTCTACACAAATTTTGTTCTTATGACCAAAATTACCTTCAGGTGAAAGTAAAGATTCTTCTTGAAGTTTAGCTGCTTCCAAGTATGTCTGTAATGGATCATAATTCTCAGAAGAAATCCTGATTACACTTGAAACATTAACTCCAAGCTCAGACATCACAGGCAGTAGCTGAGGGTTGTGGAAACCCAAGATTATAAAGTAATAGTGGGCACCATCATCTGGTTCATCATCTGTTCAAAACACATTAAAACAGACTGGAGTAAGGAATTCAAGAGCTAAACAAAAAAATTTTTTTTTTCCCTTGCATATATAGTGATACTGCAAATTAAGGTCACAGATGCAAACTATTACAAACGATTAACAAAAATGCAGCATTCAGAAAAAAACAGTAGGTAGCTTCTGATATTCCTACAGTCTCTGGGGTGTTTGTTTTTTATTCCTCTATCATCTTTGCAAGCACAAAGTAACTAGACAAATTCTCCTTTGAGATAATCTGCAATCATTGCTATCACTGTTTTGTAAATACCCTTGGGACTAATGAGATGATCTCAGTTAATAAAATTTAATGGCAATGCTAGCAGTTTGTAACATAAAACTATTAAGCATACTAAACAAAGACACTTTTCATGGTGGTTAGCTTTTGGAGGCAATTATTATTTTTCCTACTTTTTCTTATCATTAGCTGTGACTAACAAGGCAGCAAAGTATGGATATGGGGTAAAAAAAAAATCTCTTATTTTATACAGGCACCTGATGTTTTCTGCCCACTCCTCAGACACCCCTCAGATTGGAATCAAACACGTTGGATCTGGTAAAATTGTTTCTATAGGGCCTAGCAGAACCACATTAATAGCTACTCAAAGCCATTCTGTACAGTACACTCACATAAGTAAGATAAAATGAGGTCTCTACATTACTTTAGCTTTGATTCTTACAGGCATAGAAATTTCTTCAAACACTTCTAAGTCCGTGAAAAATCTTAAAATTATCAAAATGATATTTTTGCCATGCCTTATCCACGAAAATGGAACTAATGCACAGAAAGCCACTGTTCTGTTCCTGTGCAATTTCGTCAGCTTCAGATTTGTTCTAAACATCTAGATCAATGCTTTTTAAATGCTTGAGGAGTATCATTGATCTCAAAAGAGATATGGACAAAGTCTGATGAAATAGGAAGGAATGCCTGCAGGGGTTCAACTGGGGAATACCGGCTACGCATTCAAGACCAGCAAGTGCTTCTCTAGTGGGAGAAATCCTGTTTTTTCTGACGTAGTTAAAGCTCACTGTGGTCCAAATTAAATATAACTATGATCTAATGAGGAGAAGTATGCACATTCTCCCATTTTTTTTTGTTCCAGTGACATTTGTAACCATGGGTGCTATGTATTGAGAATAAAGATTTTCTCAACACTGTTTAGTATATTATTCCTTACCTTGTATAGCTCACTTCTGGACTAGCTTTCTTCAGGTCTTAGCACTACTCACATGTTTTTACAGTAAATGAATTCATATTGCCCTTTATACAGAACCTGGCTTCACCTCTAAACAATGGTGGACAGCTCAGTTTTACTTTATTAATACAAGGAGAAAGATGCCTTTGGATACTGACACATGCACTTAGTTATTCTGAAATCTTTGTGTAAGGATATGTAATATTTATTTAGCCACTTTAGTCTTACACATGCTAAAACATTTTTGATGTTAATGTGCTACACATCTCATCTCTATTTTATTTCTCGGACTGTACAATATATCTTACTTCTAAGTAAAGTATAGTGCCCTCTTCAAATGCAAGGTGGCAATGCTTTCATATTGCCAAATACATCTTTCAACATGAAACAAAAAACATACTGAATGTGAAGCTAGGTTTGATGATTTTTGCAAGTTTATCAGGAGCATATATGCTTTCTTTACGTACCAATGTATTTGTACTCCTCTTCCTCTTCTCCTCGTCGCTTCAGTTGGGTGTTCTTTTTAACAGTAGCTGGCACTGCAGAGGCTACGTCTGTCTTTCTTCCTTTCCTTTCTTTCTCAGCTGTCTTGGCACTAGGGGGTTTCTCCTTCTTGCCAGGAGGTTTACCTTTCTCTTTTCCTCCATCTTTTCCTTTTTTTAGCTCTTCTTCTGCCTGACAAGATGAAGAAACTAAATTTTCATTGTAGCCTTTGTGAAGAACAAAGGACAGATTGCTATAAAATTATAGTGGATAAATGAGTAACTTGAATACTTCTGAGTACTTTTCCCTCTCAGAGTTATAAAGTTGTGTTAAAGATGTCTTAAACAGTGCTTTTTCCTTCTTGAGCACACCATTCAGTTTATTATATTCTTACTAAATCATAGTGTTAAGACTTGACATTAAAGAGGAACTATGAGGGGAAGGTATATATTATACCTACAGAATTGATTAAACGAATACTGGTGGAAAGACAAGAACCAATGACCTTCATCAACTACCACTACAGTACTTGCATCAGCCAGAAACCTTCCCTAGACTGAAGGAAAATAAGACTAAAAATTCAATTTCTGTTAAGTCTTCAGCATCTCTGTTAACACTCTTGAGTATGGCATAAAACAGTACCAGCACTATTTTGTCTTTGATGTAAATATCTGTCTACTATAAACTACAACCAAGAGCCTTGTGCTCATTTCACACAGGATATTACTCAGCCATTCTCATTATTTCCAAGCAAAACCCCTATGTTAAGTTCTACTTGGTAATTTAAGAGTAAAGAATGAAAAAAGATGGTGATAGTGTCCCAAAGCCTCACATTATAAATCCAAGAAGCTCACAAGTCTAAAATTAAAATAATTCAAAATATATTAAGGCAAAGAGAAATGCTGTAAGAACAAGAATCTTTATGTTTTCCCAGCAGCATGACTATGCACTAACCACATGAGAATGGTGGTTTTTTTTTGTGTTTTTTTTTTTTTTTGTAAAGCTAAAGTAAATACATTGAAAAGATATTAACTTACTGCAGGTGTCACTTTAAAGGCTATTAAATAAGTAAATAAGAATAATAAAATAATAATAATAATAATAAAGTTCTCCATGCAAATGAGATAGGTCAGATGACTCTACACAGTTGTTTTCCTTATACCCAGCTGGAAAAGCAGACTTTCCAGCTGTAGAAATTGTGTTTAGCTCAAATTCAAAACCAAAGCTGAAAATCATTTCCTTCCTTCCCTTCTTCATGCATTCACTTTCTGTACCATTTAGAAATACCTTCAATAGATTCTTAAAACTGTTTGTGCTGTGGTACTGGGACTTTGAACAGTATTAATGATTTGGTTTCAGATTTATTCAACTTTGGACATTTTAAGCAAAAGATTTTGATAGTATCAATTTGAATTCTAAGTTGATGAACACATCAAAACAGATGATGCAATCATCAGGCCACAGTGTTTTACAATCAGTTTTGTTAATTGCACCTGAATCATTTAATGTAATTAAGCCTCCAATCAGAAGAGACGTATCTGAATTTGTTAAGATTCCAAGAAAGAGCACTACTTGTCCTTAGAATTTCAGGAACTAAAAGCCTCTCCTTTTGAGGACTCTTTCCTTTTTGATGTCACATTTCTTGTTCCCTACTAGGTGCAGATTTCTGTGGAGTTTTGTCTTCCATCTGTCATTTTAAACTTTGTATTACATAATTATATAAATCTTATTACCTCACACGCTTTTCTAATTACGCAGAAGTGTCTTTGAATAATTCAAATGGATACACTTGGCAGTTAATGACAAGCTTCTGCTCCTATTGAAAAACAGAAATTTCATAATGGAATGATGGTTATTTCTGCCTATTCACTTTCTGCTTTTCTTCTGTCATTCCATTTATTGGTGTTTACTCCAAAGAAAAATGGACAGTTATGTTAATTTTCTGATAATTAATCTGCCAGTGATGTCCTGGTTTCAACACCTGAGCTGTCAGTGGAACTTGTACTGCACGAGCTAGTTGGAAAAGACTGAAATTTTATGGCAGGCAATTTAGAGTTAAAATTCTAAATTAAACACCAATTTTTTCCCATTCTGTACTGCAGAGTATCTTTATAGTGAAGAGGCCTCCCAGCTGACTGAGGCCTCCAAAACTGACAAGTTTGTCCTTCAGCTGCTTCTCTCATATTTGTCTGTCACACTTTGATAGCTAAAATCCAGTGGAGCAGACAACTGTCCAGATTGCTTGGCTAAAACCAAGAAGAAACTGTAAAGTCCAGAGATTCTTCTACCTTCAAATCCAACTATCCTCAGATTCTCCAGAGAAATAAGTTCATATATACAAGAGTAACCTTGCCAAAACAAAGCCTAAGGCTCCATTTTAATATTCAAGGGACTAATATTTAAACTTCAATTTTTTGTTTTACAGTTTACTTTCCAGCACTGATTAATATCTAAGAGAAAAGTCATTTATCATCCATTGTTATGAACAATTTGCACTTCAGCTTTACCCTTTGAATTCTTCTTCATGTTGAACTTTTTAAAAAAATTTTTTTCTCAGATTCTTTACACATTTTTTTGGCTTACATCATCTGTTTTATGAGGAAAGACTAAGCAAGCTGGGCTTGTTTAGCCTAGAAAAGAGGAGACTGAGGGGGGGGATCTTATCAACCTTTACAAATACCTGAGTGGACAATGTAAAGAGGGTGGGGCCAAATTCTTCTCAGTTGTGACCAGTGATAGGACAAGGGGTAATGGGTATAAATTAAACCACAGGAGGTTTCATTGCCATATGAGGAAGAACTTCTTTATGGATCTGGTGACAGAGCACTGGAACAGGCTACCCAGAGAGGTTGTGGAGTCTCCTTTGGAGATTCTCAAAACCTTCCTGGATGTGATCCTGTGTAACGTGCTCTAGGTGACCCTGCTTGAGCTGGGGGGTTGAGCCAGATAATCTCTGGAGGTCCCTTCCAACCTCAACCATTCTGTGATTATCATTTGTAAAAGTTTTGCAATTGACTTCAATGAGACCAGTACACTAAATCATCAACTAGCATTTAATATTCTTGAGTGTGTGGTATACTTACTCTGCTTATTCCCACAAATATAATTGTTCATAAAAAAGCATTTACAGACTTTTCAATTGCACATAATCCTTAAAACCATTTTTTTTCTTTAACTTTTACAAGAACAGACTACTTAGATCTCTGTATCATCCCATTTTACAGGTTTTATATTTTGTCTTGTAATACCTGTAATTTTTGATCAACAGAGTAACTTTTTGCAGCAAGTATTTGACTTTCTGTTAATAAAGGTCTTCAGTTTAATGATTATTTAGTGGAAAAGGACTCTAACAAAAAATAATTGTTCAGTAAGTTTTTGAAATGTAGCACTGACTTGTTTACTTTTTATAATTACAGCAATTAGAAAGCAATTAGGGTTCTGATATCACAGAATCACAGGTTGGAAGAGACCTCCAAGATCACCTAGTCCAACCTCTGACCTAACACTAACAAGTCAAATATGATTGTGATTCTGTGCAATCTTGCTGAAATTCCTCCTAGAACACAGAAGTAATCTGACTAAGGCAGTCTTGGAGCAAGAAGTAATGATTTTGGAGAATATGTGGAAGTGAGGGTTTTTTTGATCATCCTTGTGGCCCTCCTCTGGGCTTGCTATAATAGGTCCATGTCCTTATGCTGTGGGCCCCAGAGCTGGAGGCAGTACTCCAGGTGGAGTCTCACAAGAGCAGAGAGGGAGAATCACCTCCTCGACCTGCTGGCAACACTTCTCTTGATGCAGCCCAGGATATGGTTGGCTTTCTGGACTGCAAACACACATTGCTGGCTCTGGTTGAGCTTTTCACCCACCAGTACCCCCAAGTCCTTCTCTGCAGGGTTTCTCTCAATCCACTCATCAGGTCTGCACGTTGCACTTGGCCTTGCTGAACTTCATGAGGTTTGCAGGAGCCCACCTATCAAGCCTGTCAAGGTCCCTCCGGATGGCAACCCTTCCCTCCAGCTGGTGGAATGCACCACTAAGCCTGGTGTTATCCGCAACTTGCTGAGTGTGCTCTGAATTCCACTGTCCATATCACCAACAAAGATATTGAATAATACTGGTAACAATACTGACTCCTGAAGGACACTTCTTATCCCTGCTCTCCACTTGGATCTTGAGCCATTGTCCACATACACAGTGAGAAATTAAACATCAATGGATTTAAATTTGAACAGGGTTGATGAAATTAGAAACCTTTCACAAATATCTATGTTGCAAAGATATTTGAACAGTAATACCGATTGCTGTAGAAAGGTGAAAGCACAGCAGTGCAAGGTTTTTAAGAACAGGTTCAATAAACATTTACCAAGAATAGTTTATGTATATTTTATCCTGCCTTAATACCAGAGGATGGAACAGATAACTTCTCCAAATTTCTTCCAGAGAAGTGATTCATGATAGTAATTTCTTCACAATGCTACTCTGCACATACCCCTGATAACTCTCAAGTAATATAACTTCTCCTACCTTAACTTCAGCAGAGATATATTGAGCTGAAGCAAGTTTCTACCACTATTTTCTAGTGGTTCTATGCTTCAGCTAAGACATTACTACTTTTTACTGAAGTGAAGAGTTCACAGGCAATACTTTTTCTTTTCTATTTTTTTTCCCTGTCTCACCTGCATTTGAGTAATTGGGAGCTTCTTCCCAAAAATCTAATTAACTTAAAATATAAATTTCTATTTACATTTATCTTCAATTACGGATGCAGGGAATGAAGCATAAGTAGAAAGCTGAATTTATGCAAATAGCTCTTGAATAGAAGTGGCTTCATAAAGTTAATTAAGCATCCTCTCTATGGCATACTGTACTACCTTCTTTTCAGCTTCCCTTCTCTGAAGGTCTTTCTGTTTAAGACAAAGCAGTTGAAATTTCAATAGCTTTCCAGTTAGTGTTACAGGAATCTCTTCTCCGCTGTCAAGAATGGCTTTGGCTGCTTCTACTACCTACAGAGAAGAAAACAAAAACAGCTATTACTTGTATGGTTTTAATACTGCATTTGACATAGTTTGCATGCAGAAAAGATGGGGTGTTATTTCACATTAACAGTATGTGGCTCAGAATGGTCACATGTTCTGAAAAACAACAAATCAGTAAGATGCATAGCTATTCTTTGGTCCCAATGCTGTAAGTATGAGATAAAACTAGAAGAGAGAAAACTATGCAAGTGTGAACAGATGCACAGTTTTTACTGTAAACTGCATATATATACTTATATATTTTATTTATATATATATATATATTGGTTTTAAACAGGCAACATTAAGCAACTACTTATTATAAGCTAATAAAAAAAAAACATTTAGCAGGTACAAAATTGGTAGGAATACTTTGGCGTACTACTTTACAAAGTGACTAGTGTCTGAGGCACCAGCCTTGAATGAAAGATACAAACTTCTTGAAGGGAATTTGAGAGGGTCTGTCTTGGTGAAAATACACCCCTCCCTGTGTAATGCTGATTCTGTTGGTATGCAGCCTAATTGGGGTGAAATAAGGCTATTGAGTTTTCTTAGGGTGATGACAGCAGCGGGAACATACAGCTGCATTGTCCAGATGTGTGGCATTGACAGGCTGTTTTATGACTATGTTTTTTACAGCTTGTTTCCACTAAATTTCGTACAACACAGTAACATCTGGGCCGTTTTCCTTGGAGCCTCATAACCACTTTATTTACTGCGAAAAAAATAAAATAACATAAAAATACCATAAAAAGTTGTTATATGTTTCTTTTCACTTGTGTTGTCTCTGTAATAAAGTTCACCTATGTAGGAAGCGCTGTTGAGGAATAATATAACCATAATATTTTCCTACTTTTGTTTTTAAGCAACCATCAGCTTTATTTATAACCATGGGCTGAATTAGGTGTTACTCAAATGTTCTGACATGTTTCTCTTTTCCCTTCTTGGAGCAATTACAGTTGGGCACATATGGTGTCAATTTTGCTTGCTAACATTCAGACAATGAAGGTGCACACTGCATCTCACTGAACTGTGTCTTGTCTAATGCAAACACCACCATTAGCTTTGAGCTTTCATAGTTTCTTGCCCAGCTTAGAAATTTTCACTTATCCAGTAAAACCTGGGTAAGTAACTATAGCCACTACAAATGCTTCTCTGAATTATCAATGCCAGAATGGAATTCAGAATATTATAAGCCAAATTAGTATTTCATGTACATGGGAACAAAACACGGGAAAAAAAATATGTTAAATTTTAGATTTTTCTGGATCACATAAGAGAGAGACAAAGCAAACAAAATATTTGTATTTATAACCCCCCATCTCCAACACTAATAAATCTGATATCTCCTTAACATACAATACTTAAGAAAATACATCATGGTTAAGATGAGTTTTCCTTTACATCTTTTGTATTCTGAGTAATACTACTGGTCACTATCTCAACAAGCCAACCATAGAAGGCTTCTGGAAAGAATCCCAGTAACTTCAGAGTCATGGCAGAAAATCAATGGCACATTAAGGACTGACTTAAAAAATCCCACAGACTGTACGCACCCTAAAATCTACTAGCCATTCCAACAAAGAAGAGTCACCCAGAGCTAGCTACAGAAAATCTGAGCTCTGAAAGAGATTTTGGTAGAAATATCATAGTCATTTCCCTTAGAGAAAAAAAAACAATACCCATATCGCTTTTTTGCAGAAATGGTGTTAACAGCCTATGGAAAGAGATGCTTCCCAAATGCCTAATCTAGATGAGATGCACATTTCTTGACGCACAATAGAGGGGAAATGGAGAGATTCTGGAAGGATTCCTGAAAAGTATATATAGTAACCCAGAGCTTGATGGCAGTTGCTGATTTATTATTCATGGAAGAAGGAAGGAATGCTTAGATTCTTACAACCCATTCCTCCTGAGAAATTCAGAGTGCTTTACCAGTTAAATGCAATGCATTGTGATTATTCCTACTTTGTAGATAGAGAATACAGAAATTAAGGGACTTTTCCCAGGTCTATAGTAAACTGGACAACTCAGTGAGTGGAGAGGGACATTTATTTGTTATTTTTTTTTTAATGTGAGGTGTCAGAGAAGTATAAACCAAACCCTATTTAACAGGAATACATTCTAATACTGGGGAGAGAGTTCAGACAAAAATAAAACGAGCACCCTACATTTGGCAATACCATGAAAACAGTTTTTCACACAGCAATGTAAAGTCTGCTCCATGCATAAACAAATAATGATAATAAAAAAATCCTTCATCACTGCTTGTTTAAAGATAGAACATAGATCAATTCATGCAGAGCAGATAAAAGAATTTATTACACTCATGCAAGTTTTCTTCATTTGTGGCCCTGTGAATTATGCAGGCACCTGGCATAAACAGCTAAAAATCCACAGAGCCTCAATAATAAAAAAAAAAAGCTGAAGACAAAGACTTGGTAGGAGTACAGAAGGAATTTTTTGGGATACTACGAGGTGGATTCATTTCAGATTGGCTATACTTTATCCTGCCAATGATGACCTTTTCCTTATGTGAGAAACCATGGAAACTTGGACAGACAAACTCAGTTAGGTAGGGCCTCTTTTCCTTTAAAGGAATAGGAAACTTAGCATTCCTCACACAGCAGGGGTCACATTTGTGAAGTGCAGAAAGGCTGCAGTGATGCAGTATTTGATCTCATATGGTGGCAGTATGAACCATGCAGAGCCTTAGCTGCCTGGTGCAAAGGGCATGTATTTCAAGCCATTCAAAAACTGCATGAGTGCTTGTAGGTGATACTATACCACTGGCATATGCTGATGTCATTGAGATTGGAGACAGGTTTTAAAAGTTTGGAAAACCTTTAAAGCCAGTCTTCAGAGTATCTTTCTTTGAAATGCCTCCTTTTCTTTATACAGAACCATTCTGTGGCTGCTAAATCATAATGAGAAAAGCATTTGAAGTGATAAATTGAATTACCAACTTTCACAGCATTATCATTAATTGGAAGTGGCTAGCATCACTTGCTATGAACAGTGGTCAGCCCTAGTTATTCTATATCCATGATAAGCTTTGTAAAACTCCATCTTCCCTCCTGTACTTGAAACTGTATAAATTCAAGACTCACATACATAATGGTTCCTAGAAGAACTCCTTAGTAAAACATATTCCTTCATAGCTGACATAAAGTCAGTTTGAAACAGGTAATCTATCATTAACAGAAGAGCCATCAGTCAAGAGGTTATATGGACTACTTAATCGATGAAGTTAATACTTACTGTTCAAATATAATTTGTTAAGCAAGCTAATAAAAGCCAATAAAATAAGCCAAATCTTAAACCAATCTGCCATCAGTGTTGTGAATCCCTCACAAGAAGCTTTCAAGACAGACTATGGAATGAAAGCTGCATGTAATACTGAAAAATTACTTCTGGCCAAAGAAGACTTCTGTATGCATAATGTTAAATATTTTTGAATCTGGTGATGCCATTTCATTGACTAGAGCATATGATATCATTTCAAAAGAATACCAGGAAGGCCCTGAGCGGACTGAAACAACTTCTTTCAGATCACACCTGCAGATTGTTGAAAGGTAATTTAGTTTGTATTGTCTGACCATTCCCCTCATTTCACTTGTGCCTCTCAGAATCTCTTCCCAAATATGATGTCAAAAGATCACTTGTATAATCATCATCCTCCACTCCTGAATTAAGCTCTCGCAATTCAAACCGAGCTAAATCAGTAAATCAACTGCGTATCTGAAAAGAGCTCCATACAGAGCTTATGTATCCACAAGGTAGACTGCAAAACTTAAGCCAAAGCAGAAAATCATCCTCATTAATCAATAAAGACTCTACCAACATGTATTTCAGAAAATTTAAAAAAAATTATAAGAGTAGATTTGATGTTTCCCTTCTTCCCCTCAGTGTCCATATCTTTCTTATGCTGTGGACCCCAGAGCTGAAGGCAGTGCTCCAGGTGGAGTCTCACAAGAGCAGAGCAGAGGGGGAGAATCACCTCCCTCGACCTGCTGGCCATGCTTCTTTTGATGAAGCCCAGGATATGGTTGGTTTCCTGGGCTGCAAGTGCACATTGCTGGCTCTTGTTGAGCTTTTCACCCACTAGTACCCCCGAGTCCTTCTCTGCAGGACCTTCTTAACTGGGTTAATCTCAGCAATGCAGAAGGAGAACTTCCTAAGACACATATGTACAATGTATGTATCTTACTGTTAGAAGTACTCAAATAATGTTCTATGGGAAACACAAACAGTTGAATAACCTCATTTGAGTAAAAAAGAGAAAATATATTACATATAAATTATGATGACTTTTAACCTTGGCTTTCTCAAGTATCTCATACAACAGTTCTATGCCTTCCTGACCTGCTACCAAACCCACCCTCTTTAAGGGAAAATATGAAACGAATGTCCAGTTATTCAAAAGAGCAATCATTAGCATTGCTATCTCAGGAAACAGGAGTGTCATGCAAAGGAAAGATTCTCTCATGTGGCTCTTTAGATACCTGTTCGTTTTTAACACCCTAACTGGGGAGACAAAATTGAAATGGTGATTCAAGTGATTCCTGAAGAACTTCTAAAGACCCCAGAGCTTTAAAATGAGAAGATACGCCAGTCTGCTGTGATCTGTTCCCAGAATAAAAGATATATTGCTATGATGAAATCTTGAAACATTTACATTTCAGTAGTATAAATGTGCCCAGCTTGTCTTTTCATTGTGGAGCAGAATATTTTGTGCTTCTGAGAAGTAAATTCTTTCCAGTAATCCCAGCCAATTGGATTTGCACAATGAACATTACTGAGCTAAAGTCATGCTTCTCTGATATTACATCTGGCTACAGAGAGAAACCAGTAAGAGGTGGAACAAAAAGATTTAAGAAGTAAAGCTGTCTCATCAATGCTTGTGCTGGCAGAACCTGCCCAGCTACACATTGCCAGAGTTTTGTTACGAACCCTCAGAACCTGTGGGACAGGAGGGCCCAATGACC